ATAGCTCCAGCTTGGTGCATGTGCCTGTGGCGCCTGTGAATGGCAATGACCGTAGCCCTTTGGCTCAAGAACCGCTGCCCGAAGCCGCTCCAGCGAACGTACTCGGTGAGGGCTCCACGGGTCGCCCAGGGTGGCTGCCCAGCATGGAGGAGCAGGCGCCTCTCGCCGACCCGAAGCTGCTTTGGCCCTCTCCTTAACAGTCCGAAGAGTGCCATGGAGGAGGATGTGCCGGTGGATCAGTCCCGATTTTGCGACCCCGAATGGGATGCGGTCCGACGATCGACGGCTCGCATTCTCTTGCGGGTGCTGCGTCAACGTATGCAGGCAATTCACATGTTCGCCCGCATGTTCTTTCGCGACAGTGAGTCCACTTCGACGCTGAGGAACAAATAAATGGCAGTGTTGCGGCTTCGGCTTGCTGCGCGTGCCTGCCTGTGGCAGCTGCGTGTGGCGAGGGTTCAGCCTCAGCCTGCTGCGTGCGCTTGCCTGTAAATGGGATTGTGCGGCTTCAGCTTGTTGCATGTGCCAATGGCGCCTGAGCGGCGCATTGTTGCAACTTCAGCTTGCTGCGCGGGCATGCCTGCGGCGCCTGCAAGTGGCATTGCTGCAGCTTCAGCTTGCTGCATTTGCCTGTAGCGCCTGTGAGTGGCATTGCGGTTTCAGCTTGCTGCCCGTGCCTGTGGCGCTTGGGGCTGGCGGTGTTCCAGTCCCAGCCTCGTGTGCGTGCATCCATGCGGCGTATGTAAGCAACATTGTTGCAGCCTCAGCAGCGTCAGAGATTGCTGCATGTGCCTGTAGCGCCTGTGAGTGGCATTGCTTATCGTTTCAGCTTGCGGCATGTGCCCGGGGCTCCTGTGAGCGGCACTGTTGCAGCTTCAGCATGCTGCGTTCGCCTGTGGCGCCCTTGAACCACATTGTGCAGTTTCAGCCTGCTGCGCGTGCGTGCATGTGGCACCAGTGGGCATCATTGTTGCAGTTTGAGCTTGCTGCAGGCGCGTGTATCGCGTGCGAGTGGCATCGTGCAGTTTCAGCTTGCTGCATGTGCCTGTTGCGACGAGACGCGGCATCGTTGCAGCTTCAGATTGCTGCGCGTATCTGCCTGTGGCGCCTATGAGTGGCATTATTCATAGTTTCAGCTTGCTGCATGTGCCTGCGGCACCTGTGAGTTGCATGGTTTCAGCTTCATCTTGCTGCACGTGCATGGGGCCCCCGTGAGCGGCACTGCTGCAACTCCAGTATGTTGCGCGCGCCTGCTTGTGGCGCCTGTGCTTGGCACGACGTGATCCTCAGCCTGCTGCGCATGCCTGCCTTTGAATGGACTAATGCAGCTTCAGCTTGCTGCGAGTGCCTGCAGCGCTTCGGATTGCAGTGTTTCAGTCTCAACTTGCTGCGTGTGCCCGCGGCGCCTGTGGGTGGCTGCTCTGCAGCTGTGCGTGCCTGCCTGTGGCGCCTGGCATGGCATTATTGCAGCCTCACCTCGTTGCGTTCGCTTGTGACGCCTGGGAGTTGGCATTAGTTTTAATTTCAGCTTGGTGCGTGTGCCTGTGCCGCCTGTGAGTTGCACTGCTCCAGCTCCAGTGCGCGAGCGCCTACCTGTGAGTGACGCGTTGCAAACTCAGCCCAGCGCATGCGCCCGCGGCGCCTGCGATTGTAGCATGGTTATGGTTGCAACTTGCCGCGCGCGCCTGCCTTCGAGCAACATTGTTGCAGCTTTCGCTTGCTGCTTTCACCTTTGGCGCCACACAACGAGTTCGCCCAGATGCTGCATGTTTGGCCCGGCTGTTGAGTTGTCTGTCGCCCGCGTTGCTTCGGGCATCACAACAGTGGGCGTCCATGGCGGATTCGATAGCACAGCGAGAGGCAATATGCTTTAGAAGCAGATGCCGAATATCCGTCCTCCGACGGGCACTAGATGAGCCTCCAAGTATCCCACGACTTGGGCGCCCTTCTTGACTCCTTGCGTTGGTGGGGGTTTGCTAGGAATTTCAGTCTCTCGGCACCAGCTCCCGCCCACAGATTTTCCAACTATAAGTCTATGACAGAAAGTGTAAAATTCGCGGTCCGTCATTGGGACCGCTTCGAACATTTCGGGGGGTGCGCGTCTTCCCTCGGGGTTTGGCCTACGCGGATCTGACCGTGAACACGCGCCGCCTTGTCTTCAAAGAGCGGGACAGCAGGATTTGCGATGTCTTTTCGGCAGATTCAACCTTGACTCGTCGTTGATTTCTGGCGTCTGGAATCAGTGGCTCCGTCCAAGACGTCCTGGTGAAGTTTTTCGTGCGTCCGCTTCGCTGTTTGGGGTCTCTTTGTATTGATGGGTATTTGTTCGTTTCGCATGGTCTTTGCACGCGTGCTCGCCGCGGGGCAAGGGGGGAAGGACGGTGGGCAAGGGGCGACGCCGGGGCACTGACATTGTTACCACCAGTCCTTGTTTTAGACTCCCCAGATCATTGTCGCATCTCGCTTGGTTTCGGTCAGTGCATAGGTAAGCAGTTGTCAGCGCTGTCGAGACGTAGACGGCGCGTGGGCCAGCGGCGTCAGTGGCGGCAGCCCTTCGCAGCACAGTTGCAAGCCGATGCATGCAGATAGCCACGCGCACCTCAGATACGTGTCTGACAAGCTCTGTCCTCTGACCTCTGACCCCGCCTTCCTCTTCATCCTCGTCCTTCCCTTCCGCGTCCGCCGCCCCCCTCGCCGCCCCCCGCAGTGTATCCTCGATTGCCTCCCGTTCAAAGAGACAGGACCAGGGGCGCGCAGAGGGCGTGCCCGGGCCCTGCGGGCACTCGCGGGGGCAGCACAGAGAAGGATTTGAACAGGCACTTTGCCATTCAGCTCAGGATCCATTTGCGTGTCCATTCTCGCAGTATTGGGCCCCACTCTGTCCATAAATTCGCGGTGGGCGCTGATGAAGTCTATGTTTGTATATAAGGAACACGATGGCCTCGAGGGGGCGCTTCGAGGGGTGTAAGTATTATCAGCCCCGTCTCTCTTTGAGGTCTGAGATTTCTGGTTGCCCCCTCGACGCTGGGGGATTATAGAAGCACGAATTGGAGGAGGGCGAAGCCTTTCGGAAATTCGGAGATCTGAACCTCCCCAAAATCTTCAGACGACGTGCTCATGCAGGGCCTTTCAGTGGCCGTCCTGGGCGCAGGCAGCCAGCATTCGCGTTCAGTGCGTCATGTTGGTCGGGGGCTCACGCCCCCGCGCTGCCAGTTTAGGACTGCCGGGCCACTCAGTGGGCTGGGCAATTTGGGCCGCTCAGTGGCCGTTCCTGGCGCTGCCGGCGCGTTCAGCGCGCTTCGCTGGTCGGGTAGTCACGCTCCCGCGCTGCCGGTGGGCCGAGAGGATTTGTTTTGCCTGTCAGTGGCGCCCGGGCTTCCGGTGCCCGTGGCGGCTTCGCTCCGTCGACGCGCCGTCTGTCCGCCTGCAGGTGCGGCCGTCTCTATCGGGAAGAGACGAGTGTACTGGGGAGATATGCGCTTCCCACCCACCCACCCAGGATTCTCAGCTCGATCTCCTGGGTGCGCTCTGGATCTCGGACCCGCATCACAAAGGCGCTGCCAGCACGGAGCGGATGGAGGAATAAAGGGGGGTGTAAGTACTATCAGTTCCGTCTCCCTTTGAGGTCTGAGATTTCAGGTTGCCCCCTCGATGCGGGGGGGATTATACAGCATCCGACAATTGAGGGAAGGGCAGATGTGAGAGAAACGATCCCCAGGGCGCTTCAATTCGGGCGGACGCCGCGCTGCCTTCCCTGCACCGGTCTTCGCCAGGCGCCACGCCAGGCAAGATCGGTGCCAGGATCAGTTAGCATCGAATCGGGAAATCAGATCGAACCGAAATCACCGCCGGATCGAGCTGCATCGGCACGGAGGCGGAATCGAATCGGATAGGATGCGCCAGGATGTTTTTTTTTAGGATGCGCCAGGATGTACAACAACGCCATGCGCGCATCGGGCCGCATCGGATCGTCGGAGTGTCGGAATCGAACAGGAGAGCGGACCGGCCAACACTGAAAGCGAATCGATCGGACCGGAATGGGCCCTGCGGTGAGGGTGAGCGTCAGGAGGGGGGGAGCGGCTCAGGGTGAGGGTGTGCGTCTCCCCGTCCTACGAGGTTGAATCGGCGATACACCGCCTATAGATCGGCGACAGGCCCACGACGGCAAATCCGCACTCTCCTTGGGGGTGTGGGCTATCGGGCGCTCATCAGCGATGAGTGGGCGATTGGGGATCGATGCATACCCCCCTGGGCCCACCCCCCCTCAAGTTGCCCCTGGGGAGTTTTCGGCCACCACCCATACCAAGCGTGAGGGTCTGCGCCACCTCAGAGCCCCAGGACGGTCAGAGCACGATCCGGGGCGAACGACCGGCCCCCGGAAATGAGCCGAGAGACTTGTCAAAACTACATATACCACACGCTGCCAAGCTCGGTTAGCATCTCGATCCGAATGTCTCGCATGTCCGGGGGAAACCTCGAGCTTGGCCCCAGACAGCGAATCCGCCGGTCGCTGGCCAAGGTGGGCTGTTGCGTCCCTATCGGCGATCCATAGGCCACTGAGGGTCGACGCATCTCCCCCTAAGCATCTGATCCTCGTCGTCTGGAGTTTGGTTCATAACTCGGGGCTCAGGCGACAGCTCGCGACGATCCACGCACATCCGGATCGCTCCCTCGGCGAGGCGCGGGTGCTGGAACGCACCTCTGCGCTGGAAAACCCTCCATAATCAACGACAACGTGCGAAAACCTCGCACCTCAAACCCCGAACCCCTACGGCAGGTTCGTGTCGTGCCGACCCCAGCGTTGGTTTTTGACACCGCAGGGATCGTTCAACCTTGAACGATCGGCCGCTGCCGCAACGTCCGATCGTTCTACATCGATCGATTCTGGGTCGCCGGCGGCGTTCAACCTTGAACGCCCGCGCTGGGGTCGCCGCTGGTCGACACGACGCAAACCTACCGTACACCCCTGCAGCATTGCCCCCGAGGTGTGGCTCCCCGTCCTATGAGGTGTCTCAGCACGAGGAGCGAGCCGAGCCTGTCGTCCCGGCTCCCCTTCACCTCGGCGGGGGGGCGGTTGGCCCCACCATCCTCGGCGGCCGCGCGGCCAGCGCCCACAGTGGAGCGTCTGAGGGCACCAGTGCCAGAGGGGCGAGAAGACGACGTAACCATGGGGAGCCTGCCGTGTCGAGGACAAGAACGACGTCATAATACGATCGGCTCAGGGTGCGTTCCTGGAGTTCCGGAGTATATGCGGTTGGGAACTTCTGTTTCGCGGTCGCGGCGGCGACCCCTCGACACGCCATATCCTGCAAACTCATAGCGTGTAGCTCCGCTTCGCGGGACGGGAGGCTGGGAAGAGCTCGAGACTCGAGACGCTGACGCCTGGGAAGCGGTGCGTGCCACTGCTCAGCGTATCGCGCCGAAGCGCGGTGGGCCAGAACCAGAGGCGCGACACGCTAAACAAACGCTGATAACCGTGACCGTGAGGAGCCTGCGTTGTTGAACGTCACTCGGCCCCCACTGCCTTCACGGCCCCGGAGTCTGGAGGCGGCCCCTGGGGATAGCGGAAAGCCTCCGGCGCAGCCAACACGACGGCACATCGTCGACGAAATGACGGCACAACGACGACGACGACGACCACGACGGCGACGACGACAACGACGACGACCACCACGACGGCGACGACGTGGGAGGGAGGGCGGGGACCGACTGCGATGCCGAAGAGGAGGGCCCGCTCCCAAGCGCGCGTGCCGAGCCGTCCTGGAGACCTCTGGAGCGCTGGTGCTCACATGTGCGGCCTCTCCCTCCCGCCCCTTCCTCCTCTATGCCTCCTCCTCGACGAAGACGACATCATCGTCATCGTCATCGTCATGGACATCGTCATCGTCGTCGCCGTCATCATCAACGTCACCATCATCATCATCATCATCATCAGCATCGTCATCATCATCGTCATCATCGTCATCATCGTCATCGTCATCATCGTCATCGTCATCATCGTCATCGTCTTCATCATCTTCATCATGGTCATCGTCATCGCCATCATCATCGTCAACTCCTTCCTCCTCCGTACTTCCTCCGAGACGACGACTTCATTGCGGGGTTTCTCCAAGGTTTCCGGAGGCCCTCGTCTACACCGCTGGGCCGCATCCCGAAAACCTGCCCAGGATATCCACAGGAAGGATCTGGGGGCTGCGTTTGAGCGGATGTTTGCCGGACTCCTGCTCTGCCCCCCTCCCTCCTCCTACTGTTGAACCGCTGAACGATGTGCTGTTTAACCGAACCTGCGGGGTGGAACTTTTGCTCAGCGTCTCGCGGCGGCGGCCCTGGCGACACGCTTTGCCCTGAGGGCGGATTGCGTGTCGCTCCGCTCCGCGGGGTGGGAGGCTTCGAAAGGCTCGGGATGTTGACGCTCGGGACTGGTAGGTGGATAGCGTGTCGCACCGAGACGCTGCGGGCCCGAACTTGCGGCGCGACACGCTAAGCCAAAGCTCCCGACCCTGTGACCGCAATCGGTCTTGTGCCCCCTCCAATCACGTGCGACTAATCAAGGCTCCTGTAGCGAATTAAAGGTTGACGATACCCAACAATACTCAGCAAATCTGTATTCCGCCGCCGCCGCCGCCGTCGCGGAGAAGAGGAGTGTTTTAAGTTGTTGTGACGGGAAAAGGAGAAGGGGAGGAGACAAAGGAGGATGATCGACCGGGGGAAGGAGGACGAGGAGGGTAGACCCTAGCTGCAATCTTTGACTCTCGTCCTGCCTGGGAAGGGCCCTGTCGCAGGGCGCGCTGGCCTGCTACCCTCCTTCCCTATGCCCGATGGTCGTCTCCATCATAGCCTGCCCTTCCTTCCCATTGATGGGAAGGCCGGCAGGACTAAAAACTTCCCAGCCGTTACACCAAAAAATCCCCGATCGTCAATTCCTCCCCCCCGCCCCTCACCCTGTGTGAATCGCTGGCAGGGGCGCCCAGGCTTCCACAAGGCGTGCCCTGGCCGCAGACCTCACCCGCGCGCGGGCCGCGCGAGGCGCCAGCCGCACGCGATGGCCCCCCGCTCCGCCGCCCACCCCCGCCTCACGGGCTGCGGCCGGAGCCCCGTCTCTCGCAGTTACCTCGCAGGGGATACGTCGACGCCTATCCCCGCCGACTTTGTATGGTTTTCAAATGGACAGGAAAAGGCCCGACTCGGAGATATACGGAAGGGGGCGCTCATCCTCGATAGTGGTGTGTCCGAATAGCCCCCATAAGGGGGTCTCTCCCCGAGTGCCCCTCCTTTTGTGAGCGGCTTGATTTCTAGTGGAAAGGTCGGGGGCCGGGGGCGAGAAATCGCCTGCAATTGCCGGCTCCTCCCATGGCCAAACACATAAAACAACAACGCCACAACGACGCAGACCTCTTAAGTCCGCAAGCGCCAGGTAGTCCAAGACAGTCAGACGCCGTTCAGCAAGGGGTGGGGTGCACTGGGAGCGAGTCGAGGCACGAAAGCGAAAAGGAAAGAGCGCGAGGGGGGGAAGAGGGAGGAGCCCGCTCAGACCAGGAAGGCCGGCACGGGGATGCCGTGGTAGCACGTACAACGACGCAGCCGAGCAGCACAAAAAAACGCCAGCGGGGCGCGCCGCCGGAGCGCCGATGGCCCGCCGACGCAAGCGTGGGCAGCGGGCCAGCCGTCCGGGGAGCGGGAGCCGGCCGTGCGGAAGACTTTCTCCAGGCAGGAGGCGGCGAGGGGCGCGAGCGCACGCGGCGCCCACCCCCCTACAAGACGAAACTAGGACAAGGAAAAACTCGGGTGAAGAAACATCAGGAATCTCTGAAATCCAGCGGCTCTGGAGAATGTATCCGGCACCGCGGCCTTCTCAGAGCGTTCCGGAACGCTCTGAGAGCGTCTGGGGACGCTCTGGAACGGATTGATCCTCGTCCTCGCCCCGCCCGATCCCCCCCCCCCACCTTCGCGAGAAGGAAGGCCAAGATGTCTTTTTGGAAGGTGTCGGCGAGGACGTCAAAACACCGGAGCACCTCCGCCTGGCTCTGCAGGGCCTCTGCCGGAAGGGCGCTCGCGCGTGTTCCGTGCCGACTTCTTGCCCGCGCTGCTTGGCGCGTCCAACGCCACCACCTTGGAATCACAACCTCGACCACCTGATCCTGCTCCTCCCTGCTCCACCTCCTCCTCCTCCTCCTCCTCCTCCTCCTCCGCTTCCGCTTCCTCCTCCTCCTCCTTCACCTCCTCCTCCTTCTCCTCCTCTTATTCCTCCCTCCTCCCCCCCATCCCGATCCTCCTTGTCCTCCTTGTCCTCCTCCTCCTCCTCCTCCTCCTCCCTCCTCCTCCTCCTCCTCCTCCTCCTCCCCCTGTTCCTCCCACTTTGTCTCCCCCTGCCCCCTTTTTAGAGTTCCTCATCCTCCTCCTCCTCGACCGTCGTTCCTCCTTTCTCACCCCGACCCTCCGTCCTCCTTGCCCCCATCTCCATTAGTCCCCCTCTTCATTATCCTCCCCCTCCTCTTTCTCCCCGCCCTTCCCGGCCCGTCCCTCCTCATCCTGCTCATCCCCCTTGCTCCCCTCCTGATACCTCATCCTGCTCCTGCTCCTGATATCCTTTCCGCCTCTTCCTCATCCGCGTCATCCCCCCACCTTTTACCTCGTCGACCCTCGTCCTCCTCCCCGTCTCTCTCGTCCCCGCTCCATCCTACCCCCGATCCTCCTCCTACCCCGCACCTACCCCTTACCCCTCCTACTGCTCCCGTTCCCCCTGCCCCGTTGGTCTCCCCCCCTACGCCTCCTCCTTGTCCTCCTCCCCCTCCTCCTCCTCATCTTCCTCCTTCTGTTATGTTATGTTCTGTTCTGTTCTGCTCCGCTATGTACTGATGATGTGAAAGCCCCGTCAGTGGGGACCACCACTGAAAAGCACGCACATCTCACGGAGTGTCGGGTGACATGCCTGGCGAGTTGCCGGCGCAGCCGCCTCGACCGCGTGATTCCGATTCGGACCAAACCGACAAAAAAACGCGGGACAAGCACGGGAAACGGAATAGCTGCGGAGCGAGGAGCCGAGGAGAGGAGGAGGACAGGAAAAGGACGGCAGAAAAGACGGACCGGGCCGACAGACGGGGAGACGGGGAACAAGGAGGAGAAAACCAAGCAGGGAGAGAAAAGGAGGACACACACCACACGAGGGCGAGGGCACACAAGGCAAAGGGAGGAGGCCACGGAAAGGGAAGAGGGAGGCACAGCCGAGACCTAGAGCCAACAGCGAAGCAAGACAGCAAAACAAAAAAACAAGAAAGGAGAAGCACAGAAAGGCGACGTTATGATACATGACAGAATTCTACGCTGCTGCGAAAGCGCTCTCTGCCTGCTTCCAACGAGCTCGGCCTTGGGCCCGCTACATCCAGCCGGCTGCGGCACGGACTGGGTTATCACATTCGGCTTCGCCGTAAAAAGTGTCAAGTGGGACTCCCATTTCCAAACGTTGGAAAGTGCCGAATGGACCCCGCACCTTTTGTCATGGTGCCGTCTCTGCCGGTACCTCCACCACGCAAGACACAAGGTACGCACGGCATCTGCGCAGATGCCGCCAATGCGCGCGAGATGTGCGGCAAAGCGATATAGACGCACGCGTCTCCTGTATTTTGCAGAGCCACCTGTGTTTTTCATGAGGGCGTGGCCAATCCTGAAAAAGGAAACTTCAAAAACCGCCCATGTTCTCAGCTCCGCGACGGCGAATCTGGGCATTGTCTGACATGCGCTCTGCTGCCCAACTATTGGATTTCTGCTGTTGCTCTTCGGTCCGATTCCATGTTTCAGCAAGCCACAGAGCAGATGCCATCATAATTTGCGAACCCATCGCTAGTTTCCTCCTTGGGTGAGCACGTCGGCACTGGAAGGTCGACTTCCAGCGGTAGTGTACCTTGTCAGCCTGTTGGATTCGAAGCTCCATCCTTCCCCGCGCCAATGACATTTCCAACGAAAGTGATGAGGTCATTCCCCGCTATTCCCATCGAGGTCATCTCCATTGAGGTAAACGACGTTTCCTCCGCCTCCTCCTCCTCCTCCTCCTCCTCCTCCTCCTCATCTTCATCATTATCTCCCCGATCCCCCTCCTCCATTCCGCTCCCCCTCCTCCTCGCCCGATGTCCGCCCATGTCTCCGTACGCGGCCGCGCAGACTGACTGGCCAGACATGTCCGCGGCCAGGTCACCACACACACTGGCCGGCAAATGGGCGCAACGCGCAACACAACCGTGTGATAGTCGATGCTCCCCTGATTCTGCTGGCTGCTTCAGCAGGGCCTAGCAGTCCGCAAGTTGGCAAGGTCACATGAGGGCCCCCTCCCCCTCCCCTCCTCGTTCTCGTATATCAACATGTTTCCCCTCGGGTGCAAAAATGGCACACGTGACACCCGGTGTCCCCCGACCTCTCTATCTCTCTCTCTCTCACTATATATATATATATATTTATCGCTGCCTCTCTTGTTCTCTCTCGCTCTTCCTTTATTCCACCGGAGCTTCTACCATGTTGCTTTCATGAAGCGCTTGTGAAAATTCACCCGTGCGCGCCATGTTAGTGCAACGCCCGCGCGTTGACGCAATTGGGGGCAACTGGCAGCGCGGGGGCCAGGCGTCCCGGTAGACAAGGATGCATTCTTCGCCCAGACTCGATATCTCGATATCCCGATATCTCGATATCGGGGGGCGGGGACTCGATATCTCGATATCTCGATATCGGGGGGTGGGGACTCGATATCTCGATATCTCGATAGCTCCATATCGGGGGGCGGGGGCTCGATATCTCGATATCTCGATATCGGGGGCGGGGACTCCATATCTCGATATCTCGATATCGGGGGCCAGGCTGGGACTCGATATCTCGATATCCCGATATCTCGACATCTGGGGGCAGGGACTCGATATCTCGATATCGGGGACGGGGGTACTCGGGAGGGGGCTCGATGCACGGCGCCTCGCCCCCTCCCCCTCCCCCCGATCCCAGGACCAAAATTTCCTCATGCACGCCCTGCGCCGCGGACGGGCCCCGCTCGAGCGGGGCCCGCGCGGGCCCGCAGGCCGTGCAGAAGGGAATTTCCCTTGTCTGAGTTTGGGCCAGAGGGGCCCCGGGGGGTCGGAGGGGGGGCCATGAGGACGACGAGCATGGCAGGGGCGATGACGACGATGATGGCGATCGAGTCCCTGTCGCGGAGATCGAGATATCGAGATATCGAGTTGACATCCACAGGGCTGCAGTCGAATTGCGAATCGGAGGACGAGCAAGAGGGAGAGCAGGAGGAAGAAGATGAGGATCAGGACGGCCGAGGACGAGAACGAACAGCAGCAGCAGGAGCAGGAGTAGGAGGAACGAGATAAGCAGGAGGACTAGTTGAAGGCGGAGGAGAGGAATGGAGCGGGGTGACAACGGCGATGATGGCCTTGGACCCAGAATTGCGGCCCGCGATGGGGCGAGAGCGCCGTTCCGAATGGCGCGAGCAAAGCCAGCGCTGCAGCGGGAACACAATTTTGAAACATTGGGAACCTTCCGATTGTAAGATACCTGTTAAAAGAACGCCTTCTGGAATCCCATAGGCTGAGAATCAACATGCGGGAGGAAACGGGCCGCGAGATGGGCATGTCCGGTTCGCTTTCGCCACGTCTGAGAGATCCGAGACCTCCCAACCATCTCTGTTCATTGTGGTAAGTCCCTGTCCATCCGCCGAGTGGAATGTACAGCAATCCTTGATTCCTAATGGCAGGCGCGGGTGCAGAAATTGAGTCATCTTTTGCTGCACGATCGGCAGGAAAGGGCATTTTTTAATGGCCGTGGAGAGGAAACGAGCAGCTGCACGAGGGGGAACGGCGGAGGGACAAGCAGGGATCGGCAAAGGCGAAGAGGAAATCGGATTGAAATATGAACCATTCCAAATATCAAAAACCACGTGCTCCACTGCAGAACGCACCTGCTTTTATCTAGGACTCCCAGTTTGCGTATCCTCCTCCACTTTCTCCTCCTCCTCATCCGCCTCCTTCTCCGCGTCCTCCTACTCTTCGCGACCTGGAGCTGGAGTGTGGCCAACACTGCAGCTGGAGTGCAAATTTTCAGGGACGGAAGACGCTCTGATTCGAATGGCACGCTGATCCAAGCATTCTGTCTGGAACCATGTGCAAAATACGCGGGAGGGTGGATTTCAAACCCGCATGCAATCAAGGGAGAGAGAATAACATAACACTCAGGAGTATTGGCTGCACAGCAGGGAGGGTGACGGGAGAAGGGAAGCTAGGCGCGCTCGCGCCACATCCTACATCATATTCCTCTCAGTTATACATTCCCCTGGCGTTGAATCCTTTACTGTCCGTCGACTGTGGCGCCCAAGAAAACCTCAGCCCCCAAATGGCAGCTGCAGGGTTTGTTGCACCGTCTGCGATACGCGGCAAGGAGTGGGCATACGGTGGGGAGGTGGGAGGGTGAGGAGGAGTAGGAGGAGAAAACTTATAAAAATAATGAGGCAGATGACAAGGAGGGGGCGGAGGAACTGGAGGACGAAGAGGAGGACGAGGAGGAATAGGAAGAAGAGTAGCAGCAGCAGCTGCAGGAGGGGCAGCAGCAGGAGGAGAAGCGGGGAGGCAGGACCATGCGGAGCGGGAAGAAAGGAACGGAGGAGGAATCCGGCCCAGAAGTTTGGCGGCTGTTGGGGCGGGGGCGCCATTCCGAACGACGGCAAATGTAATGATCCTGGGATGTGGCCAACGCCGCAGCCGGCCGAAGACGACGCGCACAGGTCTTTAGGTTCGTATGTATATAACACACATATATACACACGCGCATACAAACAAACACACAAAAAGAACAACCAATAAACAAACAAACAACCAACTACAGAAACAAACAAACGAACAAGCAACTACATAAGCAAACACATACATTTACACACGTACAAACCCACAGACACACACACACACAAACAAACAAACAAACAAACAAGCAAGCAAGCAAACAAACAAACAAACATACAAACAAACAAGCAAACAAACAAACAAAACCCTGGATATTTCCT